AGGAAGACTTTTCTCCCTGTAAATTTCAACATATGTTCCCACCTCTACCAAAATAGATCTATAAGCCCTAGATAGAGAAAATTATGTTAACACTTTTATAGGACTGGCATAACCAACAGCCTTTTTTGTTTTGTTTTTTTATTTAGTTGTTGAAGGTGTTTATACTACCTTGCCTAGATAAATTTGATATTAAGTCACTTTTAAATGGCAATAACTCTTGTTGATAATACAGTTGAGAACTGCTCTGGGATATGGCTTTGGAGTAAATTGTTGTTGTTAGGTGCCATTGAGTTGGTTCGGACTCATAGCGACCCTATGTACCACAGAACGAAACACTGCCTGGTCCTGCACCATGTTAACAATCTTTGTTATGCTTGAGCCCATGGTTGCAGCCACTGTGTCAATCCATCTCGTTGAGAGTCTTCCTCTTTTTCACTGACCCTCTACTTTACCAAGCGTGATGTCCTTCTCCAGGGACTGATCCCTTCTGACAACATGTCCAAAGTATGTAAGATGTAGTCTTGCCATCCTTGCTTCTAAGGAGCATTCTGGTTGTACTTCTGCCAAGACAGATTTGTTCGTTCTTTTAGCAGTCCATGGTATATTCAATATTCTTCACCAACACCACAATTCAAACGCGTCCGTTCTTCTTCGGTCTTCCTTATTCATTGTCCAGCTTTTGCGTGCATATGATGCGATTGAAAATACCATGGCGTGGGTCAGGTGCACCTTAGTCTTCAGGGTGATAGATATCTTTGCTTTTCAACACTTTAAAGAGGTCTTTTGCAGCAGATTTGCCCAATGCAATGCATCTTTTGATTTCTTGACTGCTGCTTTCTTGGGTGTTGATTGTGGATCCAAGTAAAATGAAATCCTTGACAACTTCAGTCTTTTCTTCATTTATTATGATGTTGCTTATTGGTCCAGTTGTGAGGATTTTTGTTTTCTTTATGTTGAGGTGTAATCCATACTGAAGACGGTGGTCTTTGATCTTCGTCAGTAAGTACTTCAAGTCCTCTTTACCTTCAGCGCGGGGTTGTGTCATCTGCATAATGCAGGTTGTTAATGAGTTTTCCTCTAATTCTGATGCCCTGTTCTTCATAAAGTCCACTTTCTCGGGTTATTTGCTCAGCATACAGGTTGAAAAGATATGGTGAAAGGATACAACTCTGATGCACACCTTTCCTGACTTTAAACCACGCAGTATCCCCTTGGTCTGTTGGAGTGACTAGCTCTTGATCTATGTACAGGTTCCTCATGAGCACAATTAAGTGTTCCTGAATTCCCATTCTTCACAGTGTTATCCATAATTTGTTAGGATCCACACAGTCGAATACATTTGCATAGTCAATAAAACACAAGTAAACATCTTTCTGGTATTCTCTGCTTTTAGCCAGGATCCATCTGACATCAGCAGTGATATCCCTGGTTCCCCGTCCTCTTCTGAATCCAGCCCGAATTTCTGGCAGTTCTCTGTCAACTTCCTGCTGCAGCCACTTTTGAATGATCTTCAGCAAAATTTTACTTGCATGTGATATTAATGATATTGTTCGATAGTTTCTGCATTCGGTTGGATCGCCTTTTTGGAAATAGGCATAAATATGGATCTCTTCCAGTTGATTGGCCAGGTAGCTGTCTTCCAAACTCCTTGGCATAAACAAGTGAGCACTTCCAGCGCTGCATCTGTTTTTTGAAACATCTCAATTGATAATCCGTCAATTCCAGGAGCCTTATTTTTCGAGAGTGCTTTCAGCGCAGCTTGGACTTCTTCTTTCAGTACCATCGGCTCCTGATCGTATGCTACCTCTTGAAATGGTTGAACATCTACCAGTTCTTTTTGGTATAATGACTGTGTATTCCTTCCATCTTCTTTTGATGCTTCTTGCGTCGTTTAATATTTTCCCCATAGAATCCATCACTGTCGCAGCTCGAGGCTTAAATTTTTTCTTCAGTTCTTTCAGCTTGAGAAATGCCGAGCGTGTTCTTCCCTTTTGGTTTTCTATCTCTAGCTCTTTGCACATGTCATCATAATACTTTACCTTGTCTTCTCGAGCTGCCCTTTGAAATCTTCTGTTCATTTCTTTTACTTCATCATTTCTTCCTTTTGCTTTAGCTCCTCTAAGTTCAAGAGCAAGTTTCAGAGTCTCTTCTGACATCCATTTTCCTGTCTTTTTAATGACCTCTTGCTTTCTTCATGTGTGATGTCCTTGATGGCATTCCACAACTCATCTGGTGTTCAGTCATTAGAGTTCAACGTGTCAGATCTGTTCTTGAGATGGTCTCTAAATTCAGGTGGAATATACTCAAGGTTGTACTTTGGCTCTTGTGGACTTGTTCTAATTTTCTTCAGTTTCAACTTGAACTTACATATGAGCAATTGACAGTCTTTTCCACAGGTGGCCCCTGGCCTTGTTCTGACTGATGATATTGAGCTTTTCCATCGGCTCTTTCCACAGATGTAGTCGATTTGATTCCTGTGTATTCCATCTGGTGAGGTCCATGTGTATAGTTGCTGTTTATGTTGGTGACAAAAGGTATTTGCAATGAAGAAGTCATTGGTCTTGCAAAATTTTATCATTCGATCTCCAGCATTGTTTCTATCACCAAGGCTGTATTTTCCAACTACCAATCCATCTTCTTTGTTTCCAACTTTCGCATTCCAATCACCCGTGATTATCAGTACATCCTGATTGTATGTTCGATCAATTTCCGACTGCAGAAGCTGGTAAAAATCTTCAGTTTCTTCATCTTTGGCCTTAGTGGTTGGTGTGTAAATTTAAATAATAGTTGTATTAGCTGGTCTTCCTTGTAGACGTATGGATATTATCCTATCACTGACAGCTTTGTACTTCAGGATAGATCTTGAAATATTCTTTTTGGCAATGAATGCAACGCCATTCCTCTTCAAGTTGTCATTCCCGGCATAGTAGACCATATGATTGTCTAATTCAAAATGGCCAATACCAGTCCATTTCAGCTCACTAATGCCTAGGATATCGATGTTTCTGTGTTCCATTTCATTTTTGACAATTTCCAGTTTTCCTAGATTCATACTTCGTACATTCCATGTTCCGATTGTTAATGGATGTTTGCAGCTGTTTCTTTTCATTTTGAATAGTGCCATATCAGCAAACGAAGGTCCTAAAAGCTTGACTGCATCCACGTCGACTGTACTTTGAGGAGGCAGCTCTTGCCCAGCCATCTTTTCATTGCCTTCCAACGTTGGGGGCTCATCTTCTGGCACTATATCAGACAATGTTCTGCTGTTATTCATAAGATTTTCACTGGCTAATTCTTTTCAGAAGTAGACTTGCCAGGTCCTTCTTCCTAGTCTGTCTTAGTCTGGAAGCTCAGCTGAAACCTGTCCACCGTGGGTGACCCTGCTGGTATCTGAATACCAGTAGTATAGCTTTCAGCATCAGAGCAACACGCAATCCCCCATAGTACAACAAACTGACAGACATGTGGGGGTTGGAGTAAATTACTCCGTAGAAAACCCTGGCCCTGGAAAATTGGCTCCCTACTGGTTCCTTTTTCTGTGAGTAATTAATGGTATTTATATGTATGTGTTATTCTAGGGTAACAAAGTCACTGGGTTTAAGAATAGAGAGCCATTTGAAAGCATACCATGCGAAGTGCAGGCATTCTTTCTTACACTATGCCTAATATTTGAAGACTGAGCTGGTACTTATTTATATTGAATTATGAAATTGCCTACATTTGACCATTTTTGACCTAAAAAGACTGCAATTTGATATAGTTTAATTTATTAGTAGCTTAGTGGTTCTTAAACTTTTCCATTATACTGTAATATTCTTAGCAGTAGAAGGGAGTGATTTTGTTAAAGGAAGTCTAAAGCCATAGTGTCATTTCAGAATTTCTTTGAGGTCTTACGTTTTATCTTGAAACATTTTATTAATTTTGTCTTCTATTGCATTTTAAATGCATGTTTATTTTAATATAAAATAATGTTTTAGATTACTATCGGGGGAAATCTTTAAGTAAAATTTGATTCTTCAGGCTCTGGGGACCATGGTCTCGGGGAACATCTAGCTCAATTGGCATGACACTACTTATAAAGATAATGCTTTACATTCTACCTTGGTGAGTAGTGTCTGGGGTCTTAAAAGCCTGTAAGCGGCCATCTAAGATACTCCACTGGTCTCATCTCTTCCGGAGCAAGTGAGAATGAAGAGAACAGGATACAACAAAAAGATTAGTCCAAAGGACTAATTGTCCACAGCTACCAAGACCTTCACCGGACTGAGTCCAGTACAGCTCGATGGTGCCCGGCTACCACCGCTGACTGCTCTGACCAGGATCACAACAGAGGGTTCTGGACAGAGCTGGAGAAGGATGTAGAGCATAATTCTAACTCACAAAAAAAAAAAAAAAAAAAAGACCAGATTTACTGGCCTAAAGGAGACTGGAGAAACCCCGAGAGTATGGCCCCCAGACACCCTTTTAGCTCAGTGGTAAAGTTACCTTCGAGGTTCACTGATCAGCCTGCGAGTGGACAGCCCAGTAAAACCATGAGAGTAACGAGGTACAGGAGTCCAGTGACAAGGCCCAGAAGGCAGAGGGGGAGTAGGAAGCTGATGATAGGGAACACAAAATAGAGTAAGGATATTGTTGATGTGTTGTGAGATTGTTAACCATTGTCATAGGGCAACATTTGTAGTAACTGTCAAATGGGAGACTATTTTGTCCTGTAAGCCTTCATCTTAAGTGAGAATAACAGCATAATTAGAAGAGCGTAGTCAATGTCACTTAAATGTGTATGTAAAAAAAATTTTTGAAATGGCGTATCTTTGGCTATGTGTATTTTCACAAAAAAAAAAAAAAAAGTTGAGTATTTAGAGGGTTAAAATGTTGTGGGGTTGTTAACCAATGTCATAAAACAGCATGTGTGTTACTGTTACATGAGAAACTATCTGTTCTGTAAGCCTTCACCTGAAGTACAATAAAATATTTAAAAAAAAAAAATTTGATCCTCCAGTAATCTGCACCATGTTTATTCTATGGCACATCGCTGGGATTATCTTGGTTTGAGAAGCATGGTTTGGGCAGTAACTTAGTACCTGAGGTCTAGTTCACAGTGCCTACTTTTCTCAACACAAGACCTCAGGGATGAAAATTATGACTGAGGCACTAGGAATATGTGTCATACAAAAAGTACAGGCAGTATTACCAGTGAAGTAAAGAGTGTCCCAGAGAATTTAGGTCTAAAAAGTGCCTAAGGGCTTTAGTTATTGGCTTACGGTTAAGCACATATGTTTCTCTGTAAAATAATGGACTAATATTCTTGTGTAGCTTATAAAAACATACGATAAGTGATCATAACAGGTATATGTTAAGTGTTTCTTCTTGGAACAGTTTACTTAGATCTGGAAGTTAGTATTGTGCTGGCAATGTTTTGGTTAATACTTCACGGTATATTGCATTCATGGAGATTCATAGTACACATTAGCCTTATTAATTATCCTGAGAAGTCTTATAGGTTGAAACACACAAAACACCCTAACTTTGTTTTAATACTAGATCCCTAGATTTTATTATAACAGGGAACCTAGCATTCTGTGTTTGGGAAACACCGTAACATTCTGCCCTTCTGTAACCCGTTGTCATTGAGCCAACTCCGATTCATGGCAACTCTATGCGTGTTAGAGTAGAACTGGGCTCCATAGGGTTTTCAATGGCTGATTTTTTGGAATACATCGCCAGACCTTCTGAGGTGCCTCTGGGTGAACTCAAACTGCCAACCTTTCTATTAGCAACCAAGCATGTTAACTGTTTGCACCACCTGGGAACTCTCTGTACTTCTGTACTACCCACAAATTCTCTACAAATTCTAACCTTTTTAAAAATGGCTAACATCTAGGATGTATGAGGGGCTTGATTTGACGAAAAGGGAAGCAGCATAGTATAGTGGTTAAAGCACATATGTTTGAAATCATATTGTTTAGGTGTACGACCATGTTCTAACCGTTACTAGCTATGTGACCTTAAGAGAACTACTTAGCTACTCTGTGCCTCAGTTTCCTCCTCTGTAGCTGTCTCATTGTACAGTTTAGTGGATTATTCAAGAAAATAAATGTAAAGCACTTAAAATACTGGCTAAAATACAGTAAGTGGTCAATAAATATTAGCTGCTGTTAAAAATAATGGCTAGCATTGTAATTGGAGAAGCTGTTTTATGAAACCTTTTTTTTTCCATGTAGCAGTTGACTGTTCTTTGAAAAATGTATTGCTGTATGTGTCTGCTTTTACAAAATGAATCACTTTATAACCTTAGCAGAATATAAAATTGGAAAATAAACAAAGATTCAAAAAATAAGCATTTTGGGGGGATATATAGCCATAGGGTTTTGGTTATATTAAAACATACAGCAGATAACATTGACTGTACTTGTGTTCTTCCTAAATTAAGACTTCAGGTAAGAGCAGCAACATCTTTACTTGTAAAATGCATTTGCTTATCACATTTATAGTGCCTGTATGGAGACCTTAGATGCAATGGTTTAGCTATAGGATTACCAATAAAATGTCTAAGAGTAATTTATATGAAGAATGTATTGAGGATGTTCTAGATAACTTTATACCCTGCTTATGATCTCAAGCTTTACACTGAATTATTTATTATTGCATTGAGTTAGCTATTTTGCTTTTGACAGATCATTTTACACGACAATATTGCTGCTGCCTAGGGAAAAAAATGTCTCTTCAGCAGTCCTAAGGACCTCCAGAAAGGGTAATTTGATTCTTAAGACAGGATTTTGACTTGCGCTGGTGGTTACAAGAAATTTCTGTATGATGCTGAGATTTTTTTTTTCCTCAAACAATCCTAGATACTGAGTGCAAACTTGCTTTTCACCTTCTGTATACTTAGTAGGTTTCTTCCAGATATTATTTCTTTAGCATTTATTGATTTTATTATTAACTGTATATTTTGGTCAGTTCATTTGATAATTTAAAAGAATGATATTTCTGAAAATAACCTAAGACATTATTTTTTTTAAAAGGACTTTTAGTACCAGGTCATGGGTAGTATAGGGCAGGACTAATTGGGAAGGGACAACCCAGAATGGCTAAAGCAGAATGCAGTCTTGAGAAGATAGTCATGGTTGGAAGAAGACTGGTAATTAGTACAGAAAATATTCTTTGGCCTCTGGGGCAATGTCATGGTCAGAATCTAGAATATTGGCCCAAGCCATAGGTCATAAATAAATAGGATAAAGAGTAGGAATTGAAAACTTAATACTCATTGTTACTTTTAGTTGCTGTGGAGTCAGTTCCGACTCATGACAGCCCCATGTGTGAGGAGTAGAACTGCTCTATGAGGTTTTCAAGGCTCTGACCTTTCAGAAGCAGATCACCAGTCCTTTCTTCCCAGGTGCCCCTGGGTGGATTTGAACCACCAACCTTTCAGCTAGTAGTCACGTGCTTAACTGTTTGCACCACCCAGGGACTCCTCAGATACCCATAGAAGTTGGCAGAAAATGTAAATGAATAGTGAACAGGAGTATCCATCTTTTGTGTATATGAGGCCTTCTATGTTGTTTAATGTTGCTGATGATAGCTGCTATTCCTGTAAATATTAACAACGATTTTTTTAAAGCCATTTTGTCTTTTTTGATTTCTTAGCTTGTATCATTTTTATTGTAGTCTTTCAAAAAATACAGAAGAATTGAAGAATACTGAAATGATCCCTTATATACCCACTATCTGTATTCAGCTGTTAACATTTTGACAGATTTTATGGCTGATTAATTTACTAAACCATTTGAAAGTGAGTTATATGATGCCTTACTGCTGTATACTTGGAGCATGTACTTCCTAAAAATAAAAAATTCTCTTCCATAATTGTAATGCCATCTTATACACACCCACACACATAGACACACTTATATGTTATGTATGCTCTGGAAGGACATTGAAGAGTACCCAGGAGATGCTGATAGATAACAAAAACAAAAAATACCTCTGTCTTCTGTTGATTATTTGCTACAACAAATAAGGCTACATTGAATCTGGCTCAGAGTAGAAATGATCTTTACTGCTACAATTTCTGGACACCATCCGTCTAAGTTCCTTCAAAAAAAAAAAAAAAAGTTTGCTTTCACAACAAGGCTCACAGAGGTAAGGAGAATATCTCCTGATTGAGATGGAACTCAGACAACCTAAAACTCTAAGCAGGGTCTTTATTAGGCATGGGGAACAGATCCTAATAGGAGTAAGTCAGTCATCTTTTGGTTCGAATTTGCAGGTAAAATGACAGGGCATGTGCCTAGGCAAAAGCCTAGCATTACTATGAAATTTTAGTAGGAGGTCTGGATATTTGGTCATTTGTTAATATGCATCATGGCCCATTTCAGTAAAAGGGTATTTAGAGTATAAAGAAAACCGAAAACCTAAAATTGAGTAGTCCAACCAACCTTAAAATTTCCAGACATTTGGAATGTCCTATACTAGCAGATTTGTGCATATGAACTCATACAGAGAATACAAATGTGGATTTTATGTCAGTTAATGAGAGCTCAGTATTGGGATTTTTTGCTTTCACCCTGGAATAGTTATAAAAGATGTATACATATAATTACTTTTTCTACTCTTCTGTGAAAGACTTCCAGTATTATGGTTGCTTTCCCTTTTTTAAAAAATTGTTTTTTTATGGAGGTGAAATAACATAAAATTAACGACTTCTAAGTGAACAATGTTATGCAGCCACCACCTCTGTCTAGTTCCAATGATTGCCTTCCTTTTCACTCTCCTTTTAAAATAAGTTATTTTCCTCTTTTGCACATTTTTGTCCTTAGATGTATTGACTGAAGTTTAATGAGGGGAAGATAGGAGAATTTTATGCAAAGAATGGAATTAGCTCATAGCTTATTGCTGAATGAAGAAGCATGCAGTCAACTAGGTGAAGTTCAGAAGGTGGAGTTTATTTTTGAGTGGTTGAGATATTTGGAGAAGCTCTTGCTAGCAACTAGCAGGGTAAGTAAAATTACAAAAGCTGTTTGTTTTTTTTATTAACTGCCAGGTAATATTTAGTTCCTTTGGTTTGCTTTTCTGTTTCTGTACTGAAAACTTAAATTAGCTTTAAAATGCTAGACTTTGTTAAGACTATAATGAAATGTAGTAATTTTTTCTTTTGCCAGAAAAATTTACATTTTTAATATTACAAGTAGAAGTTTGTTGTGTTAAAAAAAAATGGGAAAAAAATTAACCAGTATTTTGGAATTAAAAAAAACCCATTGCCATCAAGTTGATCTGACTCATAGTGTCCCTGAAGGACATAGTTAGAACTGCCCCATAGGGTTTCTAAGGCTATAATCTTTACGTAGACCGACTGCCCCATTTTCTCCCGTGGGGCAGCTGGTGGGTTCAGATGGCTGATCTTTTGGTTAGCACCCAAGTGCTTAACCATTGTGCCACCAAGACTCCTTTATTTTTGGTATTACTTAAGAAAAATATGTGAAACACTAACTACAAACCACATTGTATCAGATTTTATTATCTTCTGTACTTTTATTCCTCCATATACACGAAGCACTGGTGCAATATAATGCTAAATAATGCATTGGGAGTTTTAAAAAGATGTGAAGTCTTTAAGGGGAATATGAATTGAAGTGGCTTTGAATAAATATTCCCTATTAAAAGCTCATGCAATGGGTACAGAAAAGAAAAATGGCCACTTGTACCGTTCACCTACATTTAGTAGTTAACAATTTGTCATATTTGATTGAGTGAGTGATTTACTGAGCCATGTGAGGTGGTGCTTTACTTCTAAATATTTTAGCGTACATCTCCTAGAAATAAGGACATTCTTCTACATAATCACAATACCACATGTAATGCAAAAGTGGAGCAAAAACACTACTCATGAAGACATTTTGAATTTAACACAGGACGTGAGTCTATACACTTAATTAACAAATATCTCATTGTAGAATTTTAGGCCTCAGCACCTAAATACCGTTACTTTTTGTACTTTTGTAATGGTATTCTATACTCTTTTCTCAGAGCACACAAATAAAATGGAGTAACATTATAGGTATTTATATGCGTCAACTTGCAAAAAAAAAAGAAACATTTCACTAAACTTTGAAAAAGGTCTGAGTGGTATAGGCAACTATTACAAGGTCAGCCCTGGTTATAGGTTACTGCTTTATTTATGCAAATATGTACAGATGGGCAAAGGAAGGCTGAATAGGTAAGATGCTCTAGTTAAAATAGAAATTTGCTCTGCCTTTCAAACATAAGAAGAAGGATTTAGAAGAAACAAAGCCCTTGTCTTTGTTAACAGAGACTCCAGTATAGTGTGTTTCAGAATTTATTTTTGGAGATGTCAACAAGGCATAAATAAAACCTGAGTGTTAATGTGGCATGATGATCACGTATTTACAAAATTATTTGTAATTTTTAGTTAAAATAATTTTGTTGTCTTCTGTAACCTTTTTATGTAGTTCTTAAAGATGTGAAAGAAAATTTATATTAGAGCATTACATGTAATTGTGGTGACTTTGAATTGTTTTTGTTTATTTTTACTTTTTTGTTACCTTCCCTTCTAGTGTGATGTAAGGGAGAAGCAGAAGACTCTTGTTGAACAGCTTCTATCTTTGTTGAACAGCTCCCCGGGGCCTCCTACCCGAAAACTCCTTGCTAAGAATCTAGCCATTCTTTATAGTATTGGAGACACATTCTCTGTTTACGAGACAATCGATAAATGTAATGATCTTATTCGTAGCAAAGATGATTCTCCAAGTTACCTTCCCACTAAGCTGTAAGTTAAACGTTGAAGTTGACTGGAAAACAAAATAGTGGTTCCTTGTCATATCATTTTGTGAAATATGCAAACTACTTGATAGTTACGCAAATTCAATTTCACTCTTTTTTTTTAAATCTAATATTTTTCCATTGACTGAGAAACAGTTCTTCTCAAAACTTTCTCACTAAAATTTTAGCAGGTGAATGTTTAAGAAAAAGGTTTTTCAAGTTCTTTACATTTTCAATGCTCTTTGAGTTTAGTAGTTCTTGGTAGTGAAAATTCATGATAAATATCATATAGAAAAATACTCTTATCACAAAAAGAACAATTTAGTCTCTTTCTCCATAGGAATCAGTTAATTTTATCACCTGTTATTGTTTTAGAGAAAGCATTGAGCCATGTATGGTTCCACAGTGGTAGTTCTATAGAAATTTTTGTGTATCTAATTTTTAGCTTATTACAGAATGTATTTTCCAATAAAGCTTTCAGACTTAAAACTTGATAGGAACAATATTTTTTTGTTTTTGTTACCTTTTACCTTCAAGTTCAGTTTGATTATCTGATATATTAAATTGAATTCTACTAAAATATTTTGCTGAATTTTGTTTTGTAAAAATAATTGAGGGGATAGAATCTTTGAACTGAGATTTAGATTAATTGAAAATTAATACATTCTTGAAAAATTCTGCTTATTGAAAGTGTAATCTTTTGATACTTAACTAAGTGTCATGCCTTAATATTTAACAACGGATAGATTTCAGGAAATTTTATCCTTTAAAATTATAATTGAACAGTCACCTTTATATGTTCTAAGATTTTCTTATTTCTATTTTTGTACCATTACTGATTTCTAATTTAAATGTTGTTTCAGTGCTGCTGTGGTATGTTTGGGTTCCTTGTACAAGAAATTGGGTAGAATATTGGTTAACACCTTCGCTGATACAGTGGGAAATATTCTTAAAGCTATGAAGAGTGCAGAGGTAAGTAACTACAAGTTCAAACAGAGAATAAAATGATAGCATTTTATGGGTGTTATGGTTTCTTAACCCTTTAAAAGAGCTTCACATATAAAAATCATACATAGATGTGTATATAAATATGCTCATAAATGAAATATTTCTAAATGATCCACATTTATACTTTGTATATTGGATCCTTATTAGAAAATTAATAATGCAATGGAATTTCATGTATTCACATAAATCCAAATGGGCAAAAACTAAAGTTTTCCCCTGACAGTTCTATTCCTGCTTTTCACATCTGCACCACTTTTTACATCTGGTACTGCTCGCTTGTGCCAGAGCAAGTGGTTGTCACCAGGGACCCAGACACGTAGTTGGTAATCACTGTATAACTGATGGGTGGATTAATTATTGTACCAGTATCAGAAGGGGATAAGGAATATAACCAGGGTAGAAAAGGGTATGAAGGCCTTAAGTATGACTAGGATCTGAATGGCCTTTTATTTGCCAGGAGAGTGTGTTCTTAGCCACATCATCCTGGATTTGTTTGTATCATTCAGCACTCTGGAACACCCTTTGTTCGTGAAGCTGTCTCTTACTTGCTTTCCAAGATAACTGTAATCTCTCTCCAACTTCATTTGACTTCCAAGATGTGGTCTCTTGGCCAGCTATATTTTTACCAGTCATTATACTTGTATATAAAAATTTTAAAAGTATAAACCCTACTATGTAAGGATAGCTTAGCACCTTTAAACATAAAAACATCATAATAGTTACTGTTCTTACCTTACTTAGAAACACGTCTAGAAAACAGCTCTGAAATATTTTATAGAAATGTTGAGTAGTTCATGCACATTTAAAAACAAAATACCAAAACAGGCATGGAAGAATTCAAGTGTAAAAGTTGTTAAGTTTCAAGAAGGATATAGCCAATTTAAAAACTTTTTTAAAAAGTTCATAGCATAAAACTGGCAAGAGAATCTACTGAGCAGATCACTTCTGAACTGTAGTTTCCTGAAAGATTGGAGATGATGATTCAGGAGAAGAGATTTTTTAACACGTTTAAGTCTGCTTTGATTTGAAAGCAGATGTCTGTAAGAAAATTTATTTACTGAGGTATAGCCATTTAAAAATTTTTCCCTCTTACTCCCCTTGGTTGAGCTGTGATACTTTTTACCCCAAGGTTAACGGGAAATTACTGTATAGATCTCAGAAATTTTAAAGTTATTTTTACCTTTATGATTTAGTTGATCAGATACAACAACATTTCAGAGATACCAAAAGGGATTCCCACCAATGATGCACAACATTCGAAACTGGGATAAAAGATAATGCAGAAATTTCCCATTAGCACCCATTTTATTATATCCACCTGTAATTTATTCACTGTTGTGCTCCTTTGAACAAAGACAAATTAATAACATTATTATGAAAATGATTCTTGATACTGATCTTTGACTTCCTCCTACTTTACTTGCCTTTAGTGGCCCTAACTTCCTGGATTACAGGAGTCATTTGGGGCATTTAATAAAACGTCAGCAGTACAAGCATGGAAATCCTGGCAGCATGGTGGTTAAGAGTTAACGTCTGCTAACCAAAAGGTTGGCGGTTCGAATCCACCAGGAGCTCCTTGGAAACTTCTGTGGAGCAGTTCTACTCTGTCCCGTAGGGTCACTATGAGTCAGAGTCAACTCGACGGCATCAGGTTTAGTACAGGCATCTTCCAGGAGAATGAAGAACTTATCAAACAGTATCATTAGTATCACACGAGTAAAATTTTGCTGAAGATCATTCAGAAGCGGTTGCAGCAGTACATTGACAGGAAACTACCAGAAGTTCAGGCCAGATTCAGAAGGGCGTGGAGCAAGGGATATCATTGCTAATATCAGATGGATCTTGGCTGAAAGCAGAGAATACCAGAAAGATGTTTACCTGTGTTCTATTGACTATGCAAAGGCATTCAACTGTGTGGATCGTAACAAATTATGGCTAACATTGCAAAGAATGGAAATTCCAGAACACTTAGTTGTGCTCATGAGGAAGCTATGCGTAGACCAAGAGGCAGTTGTTCGAACAGAACAAGGGAATACTGTGTGGTTTAAAATCAGGAAAGGTATGCATCAGGATTGTATCCTTTCACCGTACTTACTCATTCTGTATGCTGGGCAAATAATCCAAGAAGCTGGGCTATATGAAGAAGGAATGTGGCATCAGGATGGGAGGAAGACTCATTTACAACCTGTGATATGCAGATGACACAACCATCCTTGCTGAAAGTGAAAAGGAATTGAAGCACATACTGGTGAAAATCAAAGACTGCAGCCTTCAGTATGGATTGCACCTCAACATGAAGAAAACAGAAATCCTCACAACTGGACCAATAAGCAACATCATGATAAATGGAGAAAATATTGAAGTTGTCAAGGATTTCATTTTACTT